TTGTCCAATCCTTTCTGGAAAACTTCCAGGGATTGATCACCCACAACTCCCAAAGACAAGCTGCTCCATTGCTTAATGGGTCTACTTTGTGTCAGTAAGAGATGTGACTCTGCCATTAGACTAGGACCAAAGAGACTTAGGCTGAAGTCTATACTCAACTACTAAAATTCCCTGGCTGATTTTGGGCTAGTCTCTCTGCAATTTTTGTTGCTTGAGATCACAGAAGAATGGCGGATATAACGTAACTAAGAAGAACGACATCAACTAGACCTTAGTTTAACTTTATTTGAGGTTTTCTGTGCCATGGCCCATCAAGTCCGTTGTGGAAGCTTCAACAAATTTTATGGAACCATCAATTACCCCAGTTGGCCAATAGAACTTGGAGAGCCCCAGAAAAAGCAAAGGGAGATAGGAGAATAAAAATTTGAAAAATGCCATTAAACAGGCATGGGAAAAAGTCGTAGCCATGTTAGCTGCCATACCAGTTACAGTCAGTTAAAACAGGTAATGCTCTGAACAGGTTCTGTAACTTTGGAGAGTTATGCTGTAGTTGGACAGGTCTTGGGTATGTGGGTGTGTGCACCTTTTCCCATATCCTATGCATTCCCAATGAGAGATACAATTAAAAATGGAAAGCACATCACACGTAGAAACTAAACAATCCAATATTTGCTTGTAATACAGGTAGTCCTCAACTTACAACCCCACAATTGAGCCCAAAATTTCTGTTGTTAAGTGAGACATTTATTGAGTTTTGCCCCATTTTATGACTTTTCTTGCCACCGATGTTAAGTGAATCACTGCAGTTGATAAGTTAGTAACCTAATTGTTAAGTTAATTCCCCATTGACCTTGCTTGTCAAAGTCGCAAAAGATGATCACAATGTTCTTGGGACACAGCAACGGTCATAAGTATGAACCCATTGCCAAGCACCTGAATTTTATTCACATGACTTTGGGGATTCTGCAAAGGTTGTAACTGTGAAAAACAGTCAGAAGTCTTATTTTTCAGTGCCGTTGTAATTTTGAACGGTCACTAAACAAACTGTTTTAAGTCAAGAACTACCTTTATGCTTTCCCATGTCTTTCTCCGTCACAGCTTTTGCCTGCCTTTCTCCACATTTTAGCTAGCTAACAATTTTAGATGTTTCCTGGTGTTTAATAAATAACAATTAAGCTATTTTGTTTCGAAATGAACTGAAGGGAGTGTTTACTTGCTCTGATCTGGGTATAAGGATTGCCCCTATGCAAACTAAATCTAAAATTATCCACAACAATTTTCAGACACAAACAAGGTGCCTTTTTATATACGTATCATAGAATCAAGCATTATATGGTTACTTCTCATGTTAACATGATTTGCATTTTTTCCTATATTTATTCTCTCCTTCTGGCTACAAGGGCATATAGGGTGCTAGGGGCTCGGCTGATTAAAAGAAGTTACATCTAATACCAAGCTTAACAGTTTGACTTCAGTTTTCTCACATTTTCTTCTAACACATGTTGTTAGTATTATTTGACTGATAGGATTCTTAAAATAGCCTATGTTGTTTTGCATAACCTGTTGTTCCACTGGCTGCATTCACACAATATTCTTAAACCAGGTCAGTAGTGATCACATTCACAGACACTGTTAAGCATAGTTCATTTTAACCTTGTTTATAGTTTATAGGAGTGCAACCTTAGGATGTCATCCAAATCTTGTTTGGCTGGTTAGTTTTACTAATTTAAATTTAGTAAAAAAAGAAAGCAAGTTGTGTGAACACATCTATAATATGGGTCCGTGATTTTCTGAATTTGCTTAAGATTCAAAACATGGGACAGTTTGGACAAGTCTGACTGCACAAATTTAACTCCATTGATCACCTCTCTCCATCTCATAATACTTGTTCCAAAAAGTCATAGGAGGAAGGAAGATTGAAGCACTGAAACCAAAATTATGAACTAGTCAGGGTAGAGATAAAATAAAGGGCCAACTGCTAATGCATACCTGAGACCAAAAGCACAATGGAATTTGGAACATGTAATGTGTCAGCTATCCAGCCCCATACCTCCGGGTCAATCAGTGAAGCAAGAATCAAATAGAGCTGAATAAGGAATGTTATTGCAAGAATCGGTGGCAAATTACAGAAATGATGAGAATGTTCCAACCTCTCTTAAGTGAATTCGTTAAAGTGGAATCTCTTTGAACATTTCAAATGGCTTTTTCCAAGCCTTTTGGCAGCTATTTCTGAGATAAATTCTTCCATCAGTTGGTTGTTTTATACTTTAGCCTTCCTCCTCTTGTTCCTCTCTCATCCTCCTCACTCAGAACAGTGCAGCCTAGGTTGCGGCTCAGTTCTCTGAGCAGCCTAGAGGAAGATCCGATTTCCTGCCCATTGACCCGGCATCTCCAATATTGTATGAAAGTTGGAGATTGTGGTTAGTAGCGTTTGTGCCAAAGGCAATTGTACTTTGTTTTTTCTTTGAAGATGTTTCACTTCTCATCCAAGAAGCTTCCTCATTTCTGAATTGAAGAAGCTTCTTGGATGAGAAGCAAAGCATCTTCAACGAGAAAACAAAGAAAGTCCACTTGCCTTTTGAAAAAGCACCTGACCTGGACTGAGAATCTCTAGACATTTAGTAGCCCTTGCTTTTCTGATTCCTTTTTTTGTGGGGAGCAGCTGTTTTTATGGCCAACATTTTCACATACCAGCATTTTGTCTGCCTATTATACACTTGACAGGTACTATTTACACAGTATAGGTAGTCCTTGTTTACTGACTGCCTCATTTAGTGACCATTCAGTTATTACAGTGATGGAAAAATAATATGACCAGTTGTTGCATTTATGATCTTTGCAGGTCTGTAAAGCAAAGGAAAGCTGATCATTAATATCACTTTTACTTCAAATCTATAATGGAATTGAATGATAGCCAATGTGTAGATCGTGAAAAGGGTGGAAACTGCAGCCAATGAAAAGACCTGTTTAGACCAATGTTCTCTCCTCATGTTTTATCAACAGGAAGCTTCCTACACTTTAGTAATTTTAGTTAAAACATAGATATATGGCCTGAATCTTAAGGCAAGGTTTTCAAGTTATATATGTGGAACTATCCTTGAAAGTTGTTGGGAAATAGCAACCATAGCAATGTGTGGTTACTAGTGTTGAGCATGATAAAGTAAGTCCAGTTGCCATGATTCAACTTTCAGACTTTAACTGGATGACTAAGAATCTTCACTGACATATTGCCACTCATTTTGGTGAAGAAACTCTTTGAGATGCATCTCAGGTGCATGTAGGTAATTATCTTTGTTATAATTGAAGTGATTTTGCTTCCATCTTTCTTGCCCATTCTAATTCAAGTTCGTACACTGTATTTGTTACTTGAGCAAGCTTGTTTTCCACTTTAAAATGCATTTTTCTCCCATTTTATTTTCATTTACTGAAAGATGTAGATGTTACTAAGTCTCCTTCCCCATTTAGCAAAATGTGAGTTCCCAGAGACAGAATAACCATGACAAAAAGCATCAGGAGGGACAAGTGGAAACCAAACCCAATTCAGACTGCCAAAGAGTTGTTTTTCAAAACTGCCCCCAAATGCAAACTTGGCACTGGGATATGTGTTCCAAGATTTGGAAGATAATTTCCAGAAATTAGAATTGCCAAAAGTAGAAAATTCACCCAGGATTCTCTCCTATGGGGCAAGCTGGATCCTTTATTTTTGAATAGAAATCCCATGGAGATCTTCCCATTTGTGTGACTCTTTACTTCCCTCTAATGGCCATCTCTGGTAAAACCACCTTTTTGTTTCAATGCCTAATTGTACATACCAGACCCACTTTAAAAATTCCACTGTTCCAAGCTCTTGTAATTTAGGATGGTTATATCAATTTACCCCTCCCGTTTTTGACATTACTTTAAAAGTATTTCCTTATACTTTTAAGAGAATCCAGAAGATGCTTATTCTTATATGAGTGGGAAAATTGCTACATAAAAGAGATGAATATATTGATTTTAAAGAGTGATAAACCATCAATGTCAAGGCCCTAATTTTTGTCCTCAGATTGAAAATTACTGTAGATCCAAGCAATTTTTCCTCAGTGCAAGATCTTTGGACTAAAAATCCTTTCCTTTATTTTTTAAAAAATCAATTAAACAAAAATGGGAAAAGGCAGGACCAGGTTACCAGTCAGTTGTCGTCAATTTCACTGAGCAAAATGCTCCAAGCAAGGGACTTAAGGATTTTTACGTTTATGCCGTTTTTCAAAATTAAGCATAGAACTGGTATGTAAAACTCAGGAAATATTTTTGGGTCTGAATATTTTGAAGTTAGCCATTTAGGACTAAAGGTGGTCAAGGGAGGTGCTTGAAGAGCTGCTAGTGATAAAAAGGAATTCGTGGTTACATTGTTAAAAATGCTTGAAATTCAACATGTAGATGGAAATGTGAGATATCAGACTCTTTCATATATAATAACAGTTGATGTACAACTGTTATTGAGCCAGAATTGGTTATTACTGTAAGTCAGTGGTTGCTAAGTGATGTTTGCTAAGTGATTTATGACAGGTTCTCACTTATAACTGTTGCAGTATTCCTGTAGTTACATGAACAAAATTCAAGTGCTTGCTAACTGGCATGCAATTATGATGGTTACAGCACTCTGGGGTCTCATCATTGGAGACCTTGACAGGGGAGCTCCAACAAGTGAAATCAATGGGGGAAGCTGGATATGCGATTTGATGGTAGCAAAAAGGTTGCAATGTTAGATGCAACCCATCTAATGACTGCATTGCTTAATGGCTGAAGTTCATGTCAAGGAGCACCTGTTTCACCCTATAAACTATGGGCTATAATTCTGTAATCAAACTAGTATATATAATATGGCACTAGTCACTAAGTTCAGATTTCTGAGAACCTTAATTTTTCAGAAGTTTTTCTTTTAGGAGAGTTTCTTGTTACAGCTGTGACAAAATACTTCTGAACAAACAAACAAACAAACACAGCTCAAATCCCAAATAAAACTGTATAAAATGTATTTCAGGACTCTGCCTCAATCTTTACTTCTGTCCATGTTGAACACAATAAGCAGCAGTGGATTATGCAAAACGTAGTTATCCAATATGAAGAATTTATGCAATTTACAGAATCCAGTTTTTGCTGATACAATTTTTTTAAAAGAAAAGATTAGTTCTCCAATTGCATAAAGCAGAATTGTTTCAGGTTTTTAGTCTTGGAAGCTGTAGCAAGCAGCCCTAAATTTAAACATATACCCAACTGTGATCTTGCTGGATGACTTTGCGCACTCAAAAGATCTGTAAAATGGGAATACAGAAGTTATTTTAAAGGGCCTGGATAGAAGAAAAAAGTAGCAGATATTGAAAAATTCTGGAATTCATTAGCAATGTTCTCAAGTGTGGATCATTGCTGTGTGGTTGTAATATGATTGTTAATGCCAAAGAACAGCAAAAAAAGAAATTCATCACAAATTTAGTTTACCAAACTATGAGATTCACAAAATTTCAGGCAAGAATGTCCAATGGTTTGCGTGAGTGGAAGACGCACATGACTGCATCAACATTGTTTTGAATTAATTTTTGCATGTTATTTGGGGAACTGTAGGTACCAGCTAGAATTACTGCAAAACTCCTAATTTATGCAATTCCTTGCATAAAAGTGACAATTCCCCCTATCCGTCTTCCAAACTGGTTTCTTCTGGTGGAATTACAACTTTTATTCCTTCTCTTTCCTGCATTGACTAGAAAGAAACCTAGAAAGTCTAAATCAAACCCAATTCCTCTTGGCCCCATCCAATTAGTTTCCTCAGTAACAGAACATAAATGGCTTCTCAGATCTCCCCTCTCCCCAACTTCCCATAGCTGAGACTTCATCCTAGCCTCTTATGCAAACATAAATTACGTCTCACCTCACTCAGCTTTCTTTTAAAATCCAAGCTGCTCTGTGCTACAGCCCCTTGATACTATTTGGAATAGTCATAGCCATAACCATATTCTATCAGACTTTGACAGCAAATTGTGGAAAGTTGTTATATACCTTCAGTTTCTAATACTGATTTTGTTGATAAACAACATGATTTTGTTAATGCACTGAAGCAGGAAAATCTCATCCCTTCCAAAAAAAAATCTGCCCGATTGATAGAAAATAAGAACGAACAAATCCCCATGCAACCACATATGGAAGGCTCCAATATGAGGCTTAAGCCATCATCCTTTTGTGTTTTATCTAATGGAAGGGAGCTTTATTGTATATGACCAAAAACACACACATCTATATATATACCCTCTCCTCACAGTCATACTGGGCAACCCCAGAGACTGTGTTATTGCTCAACAAAAGGGCAAGCAAACATAAGGCAACAGAGGTGGGGATTTGTAGCTGCCATCCTCAACAGAGAGGCAGCCATAGTCATGGAGAAGACAAACTCCAGTTTTGACTGCAGCTCCGGCCCAAGATGGAGGCTAAACTCATGGACTCAGGCAATCTTCTGTGACCCCTTGAGCTGCCAGCTCCGCTAGCACATTGTCAAGGTAGTTAGGGTCTGGGTAGCCATGGCCTGAGACATTGGAGGTCATCTCTGTCTTGTGGTGGATCTCATTCCACACCACAGTGTTGTTCTCGCCAGTTGTGCTAGATGTTCCCACAGTGAAGATCAAGCGCCTTCTCCATGCCACCTTTAAAAGTTCCAGCACCTAGAAAGAAAAGAAAGAGGCTAACACAAAGCTTCTCACATTCCACAAACAGAAGACTCCAATTTTGTTGAAATCTAACTTCTACTTCCATCCCACGTGAAAAGTTGGAAGACATCCCTGAGGTCCCCATATTACACACTCTGTAGGACTTCTCCAACTTCTGCTTGCATAAGGAAACTCTCCACCTCCTCAATAACTGGCACTATTTCCAAAATTGTTCTTACTAAGCAGTCCAATCAGAAGAATTGGATTTAAGCTGGATTTTAAGTACTAAACAATTATATCAGAATCGAGCTGGAAGGGACCTTGGAGGTCTTCTAGTCCAGCCCCCTGCTCAAGCAGGAGACCCTATACCATTTCAGAAAAGTGGCTGTCCACTTTCTCTTCTTAAAAACTTCCAGTGATGGACACCTACAATGTCTGTTTGCAAGCTATTCCACTGGCTAATTGTTCTCAATGTTAGGAAGTTTCTCCTTAATTCCAGGTTGCATCTCTCCTTGATTAGTTTCCATCCATTGTTTCTTGTCCTGCCCTCTGGTGCTTTGGAAAATAAATTGCCTTTGTGGCAGCCTCTCAAATACAGGAATACTGTCATCATATCCACCCTAGTCCTTTTCTTTAGACTAGCCAAACCCAAATCCTGCAAGGGTTCTTCATATGTTTTCATCTCCATGCCTTTAATCATTTTTGTTGCTCTTCTTTGTATTTTTTCTAAAGTCTCAACATCTTTTTTTGTAAGGTGGTGACCAATATTGGATGCAGCATTCCAGATGTGTCTTACTAAGGCTTTATAATGCAGGTACTATGTGATTTGGTTCATTCATTTTGATCATTAATAGCCTTTGTTTAGTTAAGCTGCTGATTGGGCAGAAAAAGAGAATTAACTTCATATTCTTTATTCCATCGCAATACGCAATACTCAGGCAAGATCTTAGAATCACTATACCTTTCGTCCCTTCTCGCTATCGGGTAGATAACAATATCGTGGGAATCCTCTTGCAGTGTATGGCAGCCCTGGGCTAGGATGCTCTGGACCCTGAAAAAATAAAGGCAGAAAACATGTATACACGCAGATCCACTCATTTATACACACTGGCTTGGAGCCCATAATAGATTTAATTTAGTTGTTGAATTAATCAACATTCTGGATTCACATAATTTCCTGAACCACACCCTAATAAAAAAGCAGGATCTGCACAACACTTAAGGCTTCAAAAGCAAGCCAAGGTTCAAACTAAATTATGTAGCTCAACACATTGTACAATAAATGCTGATCAATTATTATGGGTTAAGCTTGGAGTGCAAACCCAGCCATTGGGTACCAACTATGCCGGTTAATGTCTCTTTATCCTTTGTAGGACCATTGGAAACACCCAAACATTGGACAACTGTTTCAAAGTCAAACTGATGTGAACACCCTGCTCAGAGTATAATAAAATTATTTAAATGTATCTATGTGCATTTGTTTTTGTGACATGAAAGAGCAACTCTACATTTATCAGGAAAAGATTTCTGGAGAAATAAAAAAACCATTAGAAACCCCAAGTTGCATTTAGCTTCATGAGGGAGCATGTGGAAGAACATTTTCCACTAGTGCTCTGCTCTTTAATGGAAATGCTATGGATCACAGCATTATATACCAGGGATATAAATACATAAGATGTGCATACCATGTGATTCTTAGGATTATTTTTTAGGAAGAAATTATCCCTGCACCTTGAAGGAAGATTTACTAAGAAAGGAATCGTCTGTTTAATCTTTCTGATTCCCACCTAGCCAAGTACCTTCCACTTTGAAATGCAGTGGCCTCCAAGGGCCTCCAAGCAGGGGTGTCAAACTTGCGTCGTCACGTGACCTATCATGACTTTGCCCCCCTTCGCTAACCCGGGAGTGGGCGTGGGCAGTGCATGACACATCTGGCCCACGGGCTGCGAGTTTGACACCCCTGGCCTACAGCATCATCTCGGGTTTTTAACTTTGCTCTACCATCAAGCCTCTCACCTCAGGATAGGTTTTAGTACATATGACATACTCACCTGAATGCCTCTGTTGATATAATATGTAATCTTTATTGACCCATAGTTCTCGTGCCCTGGTAGAGACTCTGGGAGTTTGTGAACATCCATCTTGCCACTGGGTTGTGTGCCTGTCTTCTCACCATAGATGGCCTTACAAGAAGGACACTGCAAGCTGCCATCCTGATAGAATATTTTTCAAAAATGTTATAATGAGTATAAAATAAGGGCTGTGCAAGCTACAGATTTCTGGAAATCTCTCCCCCTTTTTAAGTTCAAAATTGCATAAAGCCCCCCATGAATTGGATGCCTACAAAATGTTGGATCCTCTTGGCAATCTACAGCTGCTTCTAATAAACCACTTTGTTACTTCTTACTCTATAAAAGCGAAAGGACTTTTGTCTTGATGAGTACGTTTCACAGACAAAGGATAGAAAACACACATGAGCACTGTTGCATTTATTCTCATATGAAACACCTCCCTCCAAATCTGAAGGAGTATCCATCCCTATGTGCTCTGCCAACGAGAAAGGAGGTTCCCTATTATAGTTCCTCCTACTTTAACAAGAGTGGCTACATGACACCCATGCAGTATTCTGATTGATGCATGCTGCTTATTAGGATGCTCTCCTCAAGTGGTGTACCTGATACTACCTTTACATCTTTTGCTTTTCATTTTTCCCACTATGATCATCTGTTGGTGCTCCATGATAGTCTTTTAATAAAGTGGCTTTGTTACACTTTTTTTAAATGATAAAGTTATTAATTAAATTTCTTTTTCACTGCCAAGGAATCTACTGGATGTAGGAGTATCAAAACTACTGCTTCTGATTCTGGTGAAACATCTAGCCCCAAAGCCAGAGCATGAAGCATTATAAAAAGGGAGAATTTTCTGGCTTTCTTTAATGCCCAAAGGAGCTCTGGCAGATGTTATGGTCATTGGTTGCTTTAATGACTACCATTATTAAACTTCTATTCATCACATGAATGTTTCTGGACTGCTCAATAACCCTATAGAAAGACAGTCACCAGACTGCTAAGTTTATCATTAAATGAAGTTGGCCATTGTGGCATCCACACCTGGTGCTCTGAAGCAAGGTAAGCAACAGTCAATCCCCTCCTCACTTGCCCTACCTTGTTGCCACTGGTGTACATGGACAGCACACAAAGTAGGTGGAAAGTATGAGCACATTTGGCCAGCCTCCCCACACTTCCAGGTTGGATTGTCTTGCTCTCATTGATATCGCTGTACCCTGAAGGGGCACCCAATTTTTCCATACAGATGATGCAGTCCTGGAAAACAAACAGCTCTTTTATATTTTCGCTTCAGGCAATTGAAAATAACATGACAACCAGTCATTCACTTCCAGACAAGGCTCTTGTTAGACAACCGTATGTCATTTTGCTCTAGGAGAGAAGAAACATTTAATTTCTTCCCCATGGACAATTTTCTGCCTTCAAATTGTCTTTGGCTGCTCCATCTCTCTGTAGGACTTTAGAACATAGAGTTGAAAGGGACTTTGAAAGTCTTCTAGTCCAAGGGAATGATGAGAACTGTAATCGACTCCTGGGAAGGTGTTCAATTGGCAGAGTTTGGCTTTAAGGAAGGTTTCTGTGACCCACTCAGCAATGCTCTTTGAGGGAGTTGGGCAGTTTAGAAATGTGAAATATAAATACAACAAGGTCACATAGGGTAATAAGATTGAGTCTGGGTTAGGGACTTCTGTCCTCACTGTGAGTTGTGTGCGTGGGTCTACTTCTACATGGAGGGAAATAAGCAGTGGGGTACCACAAGGTTCTGTCTTAGGCCCAGTACTCTTTAATATCTTCCTTAACAACTTAGATGAGGGAATAGAAGGTAGGCTCAAGATCCAGATGGATCTTGACAGACTAGAACACTGGACCGTGTCTAACAAAATGAAACTCAATGTAGAGAAAAGTAAAGTCCTACACTTAGGCAAGAAAAACCAAAAGTACACATATAGACTGGGTAAAACCAGGCTCAATAGCAGTAACTGTGAGAGGGATCGTGGAGTCTTAGTGGACAGCCAGCTAAATATGAGCCAGCAGTGTGCAGCAGCAGCCAAAAAAACTAATGCAATCCTAAATTGTATTAACAGAGGGATACAATCAAGATCAAGTGAGATACTAATACCACTCTATAAAGCCTTAGTAAGACCACACCTGGAGTACTGCATCCAGCTTTGGTTACCACACTATAAAAAAGATGTTGAGACTATAGAAAAAGTACAGAGAAGAACAACCAGGATGATTAGGGGACTGGAGAGTAAAACATATGAAGAACGGTTATAGGAACTGGGCATGGTTAGTCTAGTGAAGAGAAGGACCGGGAAGACATGATAGCAGTGTACAATATTTGAGGGGCTGCCACAGAAAGGAGGGGGTTCAAGCTATTTTCTAAAGCGCCTGTAGGCCAGACAAGGAATAATGGATGGAAACTGAGCAAGGAGAGATTTAACCTGGAAATAAGGAGAAACTTTCTGACAGTGAGAACAATCAACCAAAGGAACAGCTTACCCTCGGAAGTTGTGGGAGCGCCATCACTTGAGACTTTCAAAAAGAGATTGGACTGCCATTTGTCAGAAATGGTGAAGGGTCTTCCACTTGGGCAGGGGGTTGGACTAGATGACCTACAAGGTCCCTTCCAACTCTGATTATCTGTTATCTCTGTGTGTGGGGTGCACGAAGAGAGGCTCAGCCAATCTCGTTGTACACATGTTGTACTCTGACAATAAAGGTAATAATAATAAATAAACTGCTCAATGTATATCTCTTACACCCACCTCGTCAACTGGAGGTGTCTTCAGCTCTTTCAAATACTTCTTCACAACATCTTCTGGCCTGGTCTTGCTATCTGAAGAAAAAGAGAGAAAGAGAGAGAGAGATCCTAGAGGGGGATATCATTCGACACTAAGGCACTATGAGGGAAAAGAGGTGAAGGGGAGCAGCAGGAGGCATAGGCAAGTTAAGAGGTCAGGCAAAGAAGAAGAGATGTTTCCAGAAAATTAATCCAGCACAGTCATTCTTAAATGGCCAATTTGAAAGCAGCCAGTTTTAATGGTACACAAATAAGGAATACCGCTATTCCTACTGCTGCAAAGGCAAAGGCATCTATGGGTAAGAAAAAGAATTAGAAGATCAACTATGGCTAAGGATGTCATTTTACTTTAGGCTAGGGAATTCTGGGAATTGAAGTCCATACCTGTTGAAGTTGCTGAGGTGGAGAAACATTCTTCTAGTTTATTATATAGTTTGGAAATAAAATGGAGTTTAACTTTGAAGCTGGTTTTGCCTTTGGAGGCTTCAAGATTTAATTCCCATTTTATTTCCATGCTGGCTGGGGAGTTAAAGTCCATATCCGATATACAACATTTGGGGTGAAGAAGCTTTGAAAATGTCCTTGCCATGACTTGTCTCTCCTTAATGAAAATTTACATTGTCATAGCGGCAAAAACCTACATGGTCAGAAATCCAGTTTTTTTTTTCTCCAACTACCGAAATTTGTGAACTCACAAAAGAGCACCTCTGTTCATGTACATCCTATTCATTTCAGAAAATGGTTGAAGTTATTTGTGAATTTACTCTGGGTCTACAAATCAAAAGGCAAGGAAGGGATGTAATTGGTAATGGCTTTCCCAACAACAGACTGATCTCAGAAGTCAAGTTCACTCCTTCCAAATACATAAGGCTACCTGGGTTTGAGGAACTGATCAGGGAGAACTATTATGGATATGTGTGAAATCTATTGAAGAACAGTATAATCAGGGAACCATCAATAATTTGGGGATGCACTTTTGAGGTGAAAAAATAATAATAAAAAATCTTAAAATAAGCTTGAGAAAGTGAGTAATAGACCCCAGGATAAAACAGATTTTTTTTGATCCACCTATGTACATCTGATGGTCTGCCATGCTGCATTATGTTCTGCACGCAATTATGTCAATGAATGCTGAAAGCCAACCCTGTGCTGTCACTTGAAAGTGATCAGCTAGTTATTATTCATTTAAATTTATTGGCTGACTTAATTCCTGAGCAGCATACAAAAACACCTCCATAAACAGAGTGAGAAACATTAATGGTCATTTATGCAAGCTGAGTGCTTCTCCTGTAGGTTTATGCATTTTAAAAGAATTAAAGAATTATAACAGCATAATGATCTCCAAAACATAAAAGTAGCTGAAGTAAAAACCTGTACGATATTCTTAAAAAGTATAAACAGGTTCGTACTCAGTTTTCAATAAACTCACATACAAAGAGAAAAATATTTGGTAAAATATATGACCATGTTCCCTAAGGAAAAAACAGTATTGGTGGTCGATTCCAGCATCCAGTTTAAGTTGAAATCTGTTTTAAGAGGCCTTTAAAAAAAATGGAAACTTTCTAGCAGTTTTAGAATAGATCTCAACAATGTAATTTCACAAGGCAGTTCTGAGTACTGTGCTATTTTTCTTTCTATAGCTTGCCTGATAGTTAAAAGCAAATGCTTATCTCTGGCCTTACAGACAGGTGACAAACTAGGCTTTCTAGATTTAACCAAACTAATCATGTATAGTTTTCTGGGGGGGGGGGAGGAAGAGTGTTCCACTTCCATAGATCAGGCCATGAATGCTAAAACTAAGGACATTATTATGTGATAGCAGCAGAGCCAGGGGAAGCACAACCATAAGTAGGCTAGAGGGATTCTTTCAAAATGGATCCCAACCTGTGATTCAGGGATCATTGGTAGCCTGTGTGGGATTCAAAGGAAGAGCCCCCAAGATCTGCCATGAAAAAATATATATTAAAGGGCTGAAAACTCAGGAGATTGCAGAAATGTTACATCTCTACATATAAATAATTCTGCTCAATTCTGAAGTCTTTTGGATGCCATGTGGGTGATTGCATGTATACGTTTCAAGCTGCCTAGGGGCACTGTGCTGCGCTGAAGGATTTCAAATTTGTTCATTACAACATAGTGGTTTGCATCTAAGAAAAAGTAAGGATCTGCTAATGTATAAACACAGATTAACGGGGATAGAATGTACTGTACTCTTCCACAAACACATTGCTGTCCCTCACCACTTACTCTCAAAGACAAGAAAATGCCAATATAATTGTGACAAAACAGTAGGCTATTTGCCTTTTGCTGATGTGGAAAAATGTTTTAACTGGACACTTTTGTATAGGAAAGAAGAGAAGAAAGCTAAAGGAACTTGGAGAGAAAGAGCAGCTTTGAGAAGGGAGGGACTTGGGTGGCCCTTACGTCACAGTAAATTATTATGTAAACAAACATGAGTTCTGTATCTCTAAATTGGATACCTCATATCCAAATTCAAATAAAAGTATTAGTTTTTAACTTTTTAGAAACTGGTGATCTGAGTAAATAAGACACAGAAGTTAACACCACCAAACCCCCCCCCCCCACTTGCTATGCCACCAATCAAGAAAAGAGCTGAGAGAGATTAACATCAGGATAAGAACTTTAAATGGATTATTTTGCAGTGGTGGCAGCATGACTTGAAAGTAGAGCTCCCAAATTGCACTTCTAAGCAATAAATTCAATTCTGCCATGGTGTTTAAAAAATATGCTTAAAAAATGGTGTTTTCCAAAAATCAGACTCAAGGGGTCTGTTAATATCTTTTTTTTCCAATGCAGCTTCTTACAGCTGCTTGTATTAACTATTAATATATGGGTGGCTATCTATCTAGTTTTAACCTCTCCAAGTAACTCTTTTAACTCTTTCGGTGCTCCTCCTCCCTTTCTCTTAAGAGCCAATCAAAAGCATTTGACATAGCCACAAGCAGCCATCTCATTAGCTTCTTCCACTTTTTCTTTACAACTGGTATTTTGACACATTAATATCCCCAATTTAAGGGTAGCATCAAGTTTTCAGAGCCAATAGCCCTTGACAGTCCTGATTTCTATGAATTTATTCAATCCCCTAAAGCCACCCAAATTAGTGGCCATCACTACAGTGTTTCTCCAACAATACGGCCTCCCCCAATAGGAAGTCCCAGCATGTTTTATAGGCATAAAATCAAATTAAGCCCCTCCCCCAAATTAAGGCCTATATTAAACATGCGAAATGGGGAGGAATGCTGGGGGGGGGGAGGGCTTGCCGTTAGGGAGTACTTTTGTTGCATACCCGGATATGGTGCTGCCTGCATTGACTTCGGCGTTGGTGGGGCACTTCGTATCGGGAGACCTTCCGCCACCGTTGCTTTCCCTTCTCCCCGTGCTGCTGCGGCGTTTAGAGCAACGCCGTGGCGTTTAGCGCAGCCACACGCGGCCAGCCAGGGCTCCTCCCTGCAACCGGAGCCCGGCGGAGACACTCGGCTTCAGGCACTCCTGTCACCGCCTTCCCTTTGCCTTAGAAGGCAAAGCCAATTCTTTTAAAAATGACTCCCTACTACCGGTATGACAAAACCTCCCCTGCCCGAGAGGGCAGCCCAATCCCAGGTGGCGAGGCGAACCTCCCAGGGCTGCAGTGCAGGATTGGACCACCCTGGGAGAAGCGCCCAGCCGCCATCCCTGCCTGGCGTGCCCAGTGCAGCTGACAGGTGGGCCCTCCTGCCCAGTGGTGGAGCTCTCACCAAGGCAACGAGCGCCTCCCCGCTGGACCCTCCGCTCATCCCGCCAGGGCTGTACCAGAGCCGTGTGGGCTGGGCAAAGCCGGGAAAGCGAGACGCGGGTGCGCGCCTGCCTGCCAAGCGAAGGAGCCGGGCCGACCCGAGCTTGGCTTCCTTACCAAGTCCCTCCAGCCTGAACCCAAAGGGGCCACCAGGAGAGGCCACCCGAGGCAGTGATAGCGCCCACCCGTCCGCGGACAGGGAGGCGAGGCGACGGCAGCGCTGCTTCCCTGGCCAGCAGGTCTGGCGGAGAGAGCCCAAAGCCGCCTGTCTTTTCCACCCTTCACTCAGCCCGTCCCCACACATCTCCAAACGCGCTGGCAGCTCCAAACGCTGCAGTCGCACGGGCATTGGCACTCACTTGGTGGGGCTCAGCTTGGAGAAGGACATGGCGCAGGCCGTCATCTTGCCTCCCTGTCCACGGATGGGTGGGCGCTATCACTGCCTCGGGTGGCAGACGGGCGCGCACCCACAGCTCGCTTTCCCGGTTCTGCCCAGCCCGCACGGCTCTGGTACGGCCCTGGCGGGATGAGCGGAGGGTCCAGCGGGGAGGTGCTCTTTGCCTTGGTGAGAGCTCCACCACCGGGCAGGAGGGCCCACCTGTCAGCTGCACTGGGCGCCCCAGGCAAAGCTCTTCATGCTCTGCCCAGCGCCAGGCAGGGATGGTGGCTGGGTGCTTCTCCCGGGGGTGGTCCGATCCTGTGCTGCAGCCACGGGAGATTCGCCTCCCCACGTGGGGTTGGGCTGCCCTCTCGGGCAGGGGAGGCTTTGTCGTACTGGTAGTAGGGAGTCGTTTTTAAAAGAATTGCCTTTGCCTTCGAAGGTGAAGGGAAGGCGGCGACAGGAGCGCCTGAAGCCGAGTGTCTCCGCCGGGCTCCGGTTGCAGGGAGCAGCCCTGGCTGGCCGCGTCTGGTTGCGCCAAACGCCGCAGCGTTGCTCTAAACACCACGGCAGCAAGGGGAGAAGGGAAAGCAACAGTGGCAGAAGGTCTCCCGACACGAAGTGCTCCACCAACACCGAGGTCAACATCCAAGCCGTCGCCACCCGCCACCCGCCTGCCTAAGGATGCAAGGGGGGGCTCAAAAAAAAATAAGGCCCGGCCTTATTTTGTGAGAAACATGGTAGATGTTGGGTAAGGAATCCACAGGTTAATTAATGTAGTATGTAAGAAAGTGTATAACTCATATAAAGAGGATTCGGCAATGACTGGTGCAAAATTACTTTTTAAATTAAGATTTTGATTAAGAAAAATTAAAATTGTAAGTTCAAAAAACTACAAACCCTAACAACATTTTAATACCAGATATAACCAGTACTGATTAAATCTACAGTTGTCATGTTTCTTCATCAATGCCTTCGATGAACAAATGTTGGATAAATAGTTTACCCTTCATTTCCCCCATTTTTAAAATCTTTTCCCGTTTTTTTTTTTTTTTTTTTACAATTCAGCTTTAAGTGCTTCAAGGTGCCAACTGTATGGAAGATATATATGACGTAAACAATTTAATAAAATGCAATGTGAATATCTATTAGTAGTCTATATAGGGAGTTCTTGATTACTGACATCAACTGGAACTGGAGTAGACATTGCTAAGCGAAACAATCACAAAGTGCAGTCTCATGTGACAATGCTGCTTAGCAATGGCAATTCCAGCACTGCCAACTGCTGTTGTTAAGCAAGGATGTCATGTGGCTGCCACGTACAACCTCCTGCTGGCTTCTCCATTGATTTGACTCATTGGAAACTGATAAGAAAGGCTGCAAAAGACAATGGCAACCACATCATCATGGGGATGTTGTAACAGCAAAAACTCCTCAGACTAGTTGTTAAGTACCACTTGTTTAATGCAGTTACAAGTTTGAACAGATGCTGAACGAGTGGTTTTTAAGCAAGGGACACCTGTATAGTCACTATTCTGTCACATCTTCTCCTTACCATACTTCTTCATTTGGTGTGTGTGTGTGGGGGGGAATCCCTTGCCACAGTTGGTTTCTCTATTTAGGTGGGTGTGTGGGTGGTCTTCATAACTACTAAAATGATCGTGCTGATGCTGAAAAATAAGACCTACAAAGCAGCAGCATATAAAGCAGAATTGTGTCAAAATTCTTGGGCAACAGGAAAGCTAGTTCTTAGTACAGGGGTGTCAAACTCAAGGCCATGGGCCGAATCTGGCCCACAGGGCTGCCCTGGAAACAGCGAAGGACTGGCCCGCGGTGCCTCTGTGAGATAAAATGAACCCTGGGAGGGCTGTGTGCAGCCCTCCCCCCCTTTCACTGACAGGGCCGCAGGAGGCAGTCGCAGCCAAAAACGGAGTTCAGGAGCCCGTTTTCGCTAGCAGGGTGCTCGGAATAACACACACACATACACCCCCCCCCCGACATGAGTGATGTCAAGCTGGCCACACACACCCCAGCCCCCCTCCCCCGAGGTCAAACACAACCCTGATGCAGCCCTCAATGAAAAAGAATTTGACACCTTTGCCTTAGTAGAAAGAGTAACCAAAGCCATTTTTTATCGAACTGTTTCTGGGAGAAGTCAGAAAATAAGAAAGAGGAAATGCAGGGCAAGAAAGAGAAGACAAAGGTGGCAACAGAAGCAGCAGCAGCAACTGAAGGAGACTCCCGGAGAGTCCAAGCAAGTCAGAGAGCTACCTTTGGTGACCACTCTCCTCCTTCCCTTAACTGAGCAGAGTTTTTTAGAGGCTCTATGGGCACGGGCAGGCTGAGGCGCTTGGGTGAGGTGCACAGGAAATCCAGGGACTGACATCAGAAAGGCCATCATGCCTACAAGGGACATGAGACAGTCATGCACAGGGCAGGTAAGGGAGAAGGGGTGGAAAGAAAATTTGCATCACACAATTTGTAAGATTAAAAAAGAAACCCATCCCTCTCGATTCAAGAACCTCTGATTCGATGCTGGTTTCAAAAACAAGTGACGAAGCAAACCCCAAAGGAAAGCAAGCAACACGTTACAGGGATGACGGTGGGCTGTTTTGAGGCAAGGGAAGGCAGACACAATGAAAAGCTTTTTCTTTTCTTTCTTCAATTTGGGAGAGACAAGGATGGGGTGAAGCCACACAAGGCAGCATTTCAACTCTTTTCCTTCTGCTTGAGGAAAATGGAAAAACCTCCTATGTTCAATTTAGAATTAAAGCTGTTTATAAATGCAGACTTTAGGAACTGCAACATTTGCTTGACTTCCATAGTGCTCCACACTGACATCCCCTAAGACAAAAACTTCTCGCCCTTAAGAAAGCTAATATATATCATTATACAATAGTATAATTAGAAAGTTAATAGGCAATGTGGAAAAACAAAAACCATGGACCCTCAAATGTATACAATAGCCATATTCATTCCCCCTCCCCTCCCTATGGCATGTTACTTTCAAACTTTTTATGACTCCTGAAGCCTGCTAAAAATTGTTAGTGCATTTCCCTGTCATTTGAGCCTAGAAATAAATAAGAAACTGCAGTGTTTCTTATATATAAGAAACATATAAGAATATATAAGAAACTGCTCTCTAAGTGGTGTAACATAGTTTAACAGAATCACTTCTGAAGTCCTCCAGAAAAGCAGCAACCGAGCCCCAAATCCTGTTCATCGCAACCTTTGCCCTGCCAAAAATGTTCTGTAGGTCTCCCCATCACCAAAAAATTGCCTATTCCTGTGCTAAACTAAGTGTTTGCAATATTATTGATTGAATTACAATAAACCACAAACAGACTTTTGTCATATTATATGCTATGTGCAACCAATTCATCACAAAATGTCCTTTCACCACAAACAAGCTGGAAATGCAATAGCAAAGAAACACACCAGAGAGGCTGCAAAACCAAACAAAAACCAACCTCCTTTTATGTTTCTGAAATGTAGCCCCATGTACACTGCTGGCGCCTAGTCTCTGCTTCAATTCATTCAATCACTCAGTCAGTCTGTCTGTCACCTGCACGCAGGCTAGTGGATGTTACAGTACAGTGAGAAATATTATACAGATATTTAAAATTTGAAAACTTAATAAAATTTATTTTAAAAAAATTATTTAAAATTTGAAAACTTAATAAAATTTATTTTTTTAAAAAAGAGAAATATTATACAGATATTTAAGACAGTTATAAATTGCTGACATAAAGCTACATGATATTCTTTTTACATGGAAGTGCAGGAAAATCATGGAATTCAGCTATGCTTCCTAGGAACTTTATTTTTCTTTCAAAATTTCACATCCATTATTTTATGGATATGAAGATACTTGGGAAAGCATCTGGGCAATGTCTACAAGCATTGCAGAAATCTTGAGTAGGAGTTGTAAGGTTTCCAAGGACCTTGGCCTCGACTGCTCTTTGGTCAACTTCCCATTGTAAACCTGCTTACTATACAGCAAAAAATATAATTGGAGAAAGTAACTGGGAAATAGGCTTTTGGGCAAAATTCAAAAATTGTGTTTTGTTGTGAAACAGATATTGACTGCTGGTGGAGCTGAAGACAAAGAGTAAAATAAAAGGGTGAAAAAAGGGTAGACTAGATAGAGCATCACTATTTCAGAATGCAGCTGTCTTTATAGATAGCTTTGTGCTCAGAGGTGAATCTTTGTTTTTATAATTATAATATTCCTTCCTGCAAAAGTAATACAGCATGTAGAAAGGAATTTGAGGTCTAAAATAATTTGTGGTAAAATTATAAAAAAATTCTAATCCCTTCTGCGGATCTTATTCCAAAAACCCATGAGTGAGAAGCACTCAATTACACAAGTTAATAACAGAACACTCCCTGTACTGATTGAAGCCCTTCCTCCCCCCTCCCTTGTGAGAAAGAGTTGAGTGAGCTTTTCTGTAATTTCTTAGCTGCAAAAAGCTTGTTCATATGTAAAACCTGCCTGATGGCTGAGAGAACCAGAGCATACTTTGCATTTCTTCAGGACATAATCTGCCCTATATGCTACAACAAAGAAAATCAGCAGTGTTGTTTAAAGCAGGGGTCCCCAACCACCGGTCCGTGGACCGGTACCGGTCCGCGGAACAAGTCCTACCGGGCCGCTGGCTTGCTGGGCGCCACCATCTTTTTTTGATGAAAAAGTGCTTCTGGTGAGCTTTTCCGGGTAGAAAGCTCACCGGAAGCACTTTTTCATCAAAAAAAGATGCCGGTGCCCAGCTGATGCTGGTACCGGGCCGCGGCACCCAGCTGATGCCGGTACCGGGCCGCGGCGTAAAAAAGGTTGGGGATCACTGGTTTAAAGGCAAGCTTCCATAAATGTTGCAGTCTGCTCTCTACATTAAAACAAGTGGACCAGGAACAGCTAAATTTTGTAGCTGTCATGTACAATCAAACTGTAATTTGTAGACAGTATTTCATTATACCAGTATATGGTATACCACTATATGGCCTAGTGAGAAGGAAACCCACTATGTGCTTTCCCATAGGCACTAGGTATTTTATTCAGGCACCATTTCAGTTTCTCTCACTGAGGATTGTCCTCAACACTAAAGATTATAAACATGCGCTTTAAAATATGAATGCTAAGATTCCTAGGATGTTTGCTTCATTAAGACATACTAAATTTCCTACTAAATTTAGATCATCTAGCATTTTAAAACAATTGCTAGAGCTGCTTAATCAGCTTCTAAGTTCTCATAGGAGGAGCACTGCATAAGAGGTTGCAATCAGATAGAGTGGAATTTGGCATATTCATATGCTAAGTGGGGACAGCTTAAGAATAGTTAGCAATCCTGATTTTAGCTATTTTTACAGGGAGTTTCTTGTAAAAAACCTTCCAAGGGTGGCTTCCTTAGGTATCTCCCATTTCTGAAATCCAAAATACTAAACCTAAAAACAGTCCCTATAATATTGCTTTATTAATTATCAAATATTTGGACATTTTTCTGGGTCTGAAGACTCTTGACCTGATTCTTGATCAAAAGGTTGGATTAAAAGACTTCCAAGATATGTTATAGACTTATAAGTCTATAAAATAGGAAGTTACTTTCCAAATATTTATATTTATACCTTGCACTTGGAGCAGTAATGGTGGGAGTGGAATTATCCTAGTGAGAATCTAGAAATCTCAGTCACAAAAAACAAGGCTTCTCTGCATTAGAAAACCATTTTATCAAAGCAAGAGAAAAGGACAATAAAAGAAGAAAGACAAGAATATGTAGCTATACAATTCCTGTTTTTATTGTTTATGGTTATTTTAGGTTACAGTATTTTCACTGTAATAAAGATTGCAGCCATTTAAGGCAGACTCTAGCTACAGTGAAAAAGCACATTAAAAACCCATAATCTCTATGAGATTTACAGAAATTATGGCTTCTTCCCTGGATCATCTGATGAGGATATAAAAAGGAAATATAGGCAGCAGCTCAAAACAGGAGAAAGGCAAAAAAGAATGTGACACCAAGGGCCAGGAACATCTTTTTATCACAACTAGTGCTCCCCCTTCCCTTTTGTTCATGGGATTTTTGTTATGTAAAAACAAAAGGATTCCAGATTGAAAGAAGTCTCTTTATGAGGATTTTTTTTTACATATCTGACTCTGGATTTTCTAATATTAGAAAATGCTGTTTAGCTGCAGAAAATCCCAGATTAATTAAAAAGCCTAGGACAAGAATGCAAATCCTGAGCAAATGAATCACAAGTTTTACAGCCTTTTGTCTCAAGCTTGTCCACTGTGTCAAATATCAACTTAGAGTGATAGAATATCACTCTAGAATCTTAGAATATCTTAGAATATCAATGTTTTTATGCAAATATGTTTAGTCTCCAGATTTTCAAGTTAAAGGACTGGGAAAGATCTTTCCTAAAACAAAACTGGTGAGAATGACTAATTTACCATTTCAGAATAAGCAACTGGATGTGCAATTTATGTATTTGCAGGAACCAGTGAGTTATTACATTTCTACATTGCTCATATCACCAAAAAGATTCTGGGCAGTATACAACATTATAGTAGAACAGTATAAATACACAAATAAAAGCATACATTATAAATAGAATTGAAAACAGATCAACACAAGTAAAAATAAGGATCAAATTTAAGATTCAGAAAGGGTAGGTTAACAAAATAGTAGCTGACTAGATACCATACTTCAGTTGTAGAGCAGGGCCCTGCAATATCAGATCCTAGATATCTCCCAGGGGAGGTAAAGGGTTGCTGACTAGATGAAGACTAGTAAGAGCACATAAAAGTATGCAAGAGAATAATCCAATTCCTCTCTATTGCTACCTTGCAAATCCAAAGGTCAGAGGATGGAGTTGTTTCGTCAAGGCAGCTGTTGGAAATGCAGAATCCCTTAAGAAACAGATTCACCTGAGACAAAGACATTTTGTGAAGACTTCACCTCAGATGAATCATTGCTTAAAAATTAGTCAGCATCCTTATTCAGGAAGATGTGCTGGACCAAGTAGAAAATTACAAAAAAGTCACACTATTAGTTTCCCAAAGCAAAACACTGTAGGATTGTGTGAAATGGAGAAAAAAAAAAGATGGAAGGGCATTACCTGCCAGAGCTTCATTCACTTTGCTGGGCCTGGGCATGGTCACTGGTAACCTTGGGACGCTGAGGAAACAAAAATATATATGAAGTTTTGGAAAAGATCATTAGGGCAGGCATAGAGAATCAGGACAAGAAGAAATGAGAATTTTATGCAGGGGGGGGGGAGAAAGTTCTTTTTTGAGGCAATGCACATTTTGTCCCAAAGCTGGCTAAATTCTGAAACAAGCAGAAATTAGATAAGAGAATAGCAGATCATAACAGAAAAACAGACTTGGAAGGGACCCTAGAGGTCCTCAGTCCAACTTTCCATCCATTCCAGAGAAGCGGCAGTCCAGTTTCTTCTTAAAAGCCTCCAGTGATGGAGCAGCCACAACTTCTAAATTATCCTGAATGAGAAACTGGAGGTTTTATAGGGGTGGTGATCCCTCATAAACAGGATATGGAGGATTAGGCCCCACTAATTGCTATGAGTGGTCTCCAAATCCTCCCTGCAACTCCTGGAGAAAAGGACCAAGTAGCTCACAGCAGCAATTTTACTCCAGTGCCATTTTACACCTTTGATTTACTATTTTACACCATCCCTCTCTGTCCTTTTCATAGTCTGAGTATGCTGAAGAGGCTAGAGCCTTTTTGGCAAAATGAGAACCTCTGATAAAGACTTTTAAACCTCTATGATAAAAAGCGAGGAGAGATCTGGAAAAAGGAAAGGAAAAGGGAGAAAGCAATAAATCAAGGCTTTTTTTTTTTTAAGAAGGTTGACTCTTCTCCACCTTGGACCTAGGATTTTCCCTCACCAACACGCACATTAGAACAGTTTCCAGTCCATAAAATCTCAGCTATTATACTGACCCCAGCTTGCTATCCTCATTCATTCATTATTCATTCGTTCATTCATTCATGTCGCTTTTAATTCTTACCGGCCCTCAGCCATCTTCTCGAAAACTTGGCGGGAAAAGTGCCGAGAAAGAGAAACCGAAAGCATGGGCAAAAAAAAATGGCGACTGCCTTCCTTCCTTCCTATATAAAAGCCCCCTTGGGAAGGAAGCCCATTCTCCCAATTGGCTAATCAGTATTCGACTTTCCCAGTTTTGTCTTGTCTCCACCCATTATTTGGATGGGCAAGTCAGGTGCCCCCTTTTTTTTTTAACTATTTCAGTGTCTGCCTGAACCTCCTGAAAGGCAATGAAACCCAGCCAGCTATGTTTCAACTTGAGATTTTCAGCCGATATTGGATCACCTACTTGAGGAATAGAATCTGCTTTTCAAAAGCATAAAGCAGCAAAAGATTAGACTCTGCAGGGACTTGTCCAGGGTGTTGCCAGGAGTCAACATTGACTCAAAGCAGCACATAAATCACACAAAAGCTTACAGAAATCACCTGGTTTCTTAGCAGGCGTAGATCTAAAAGAATAGTGCTGACTTTCAAGGCAGTTTATTCCCCCCCTCAATACTTTTCAAACTTAACAACTTTTTAAGGAGGTTTTACTGTGCATTCCAGGTGTATCTGCTTTTGACAAGAGCTGTATCCAGTCCTTGCTAAATTCTGGGAGAGGAGCCAAGCTGGTGAGGGAGGATGACAAAATCTCTAAAACTCCTAATCACAAACTTTCATTATTTGTAAAATGGAGAACTTCTTCAAGGTCAAAACAGGATAAACACAGGAAAGAAATAGCTTGGTTTTAATTAAAGGAAAAATACAGGTTTCAGATGATTTTTTGGGGAAGATGATGATTTAACTCAGTGGTTTGCCACTCTTCCCCAGAGAAACAGTTAATTTTAAGCAAGCTTGAAACAATTAAATCAGGAGTGTCCAACCTTGGCAACTTTAAGACTGCATGGTTGGCTGGGGAATTCACTTAACAACTGTCTCACTTAGCAACAGAAAGTTTGGGTTTATTTGTGGACATAAGTTGAGGACTACCTGAATTTCCTGTTTTCATACATTATTATAACATAAAGTACATTCTTTAATTGTAGTCCAGCACACAATACTCTTGATAGCTGCACACAGGTTTTGTGTTCCCTATTCACACAAGTGCAACTACGGTAGGAGCAAAGGTTCAAAGTCTTGTAAGTACTATTATTAGAGAGAAACAGACATTAAGAGGGTATTTATAGCACATTCAATGCTGCATACTATTCTTAGTACTGTATAGGCACAAAAGTAGGTTTACAACCCTAATCACTTTTGGAATCATACCTATATATACCAATATATAATTCAGAGTTCAACCAACTGGCTAAATTTGAATTCTAGGAGAAGTGAGGCAGGAAATCCATCATGCACCAGGACCTATTTCTATATGATAGCTCTGAATTACAATCCATTTTTATCATTTTGGAAAGGCTTGACCAATTTGGTACTTTTTACGCATCCCTTGGTATTTTTCCACTTCAGTGTCAGCACTTCATCTAGTTTGCATGGGAACTCTCTTCCTTTGAGAATTATTTGGTGTTTGGAGAACCATGTTTGTTTCATCTTAAGTCTTCTTTGCCATCAGCTACACAAAATCAAATATTCTAGAACATGGGTGTCAAACTCGCCGCGTCACATTGCTGTCACATGACATTTTCCCCATTCATGGAGCTGGGATGGGCGTGGCCTGCGTGTGACGCATCCTGCCCACGGGCTGCCAGTTTGACACCCATTCTAGAATAAGCACTATGACTTACTCTGAATCAGTTGCATTTTCCACACATATATCCCTTCATGCTTCCATGTAAGTACACAGCAGAAGATATATAGACAGGAAGCAGAGAGTAACACAAAATAGAGTTGTTTTGGCCAGCTGAAAATACAAGAGAATTACTCTAATTTGAAACACAGATAGAAGAAAAGGTAGGCAAGGAAACTAACCTAGCCCAAGTATTGGAGCTACTGCTGCCTTCCTTCTCAGATTTCTACTAATTGTGTAGGTTAGATTTGCCCAGACAGAAGTAATTACATGCTTCCGATGGGGTGCTGTTATGTAGAGATAGAAACAAAAGCTGTCTAATGTTGTCTCCTGGTGTTGAAATAGCCCTTTCCTTGGCTTAAGCTTATACCTTGTTCTGAAATATCAGCACAGCTTTCAAAAAACAGGTCTCTGTTTAGAACTTGCAATATAAAAAAAAATCTCATAGTTAGTAAATTCTGAATCTCAACGCACAGTGGATGCCCAACTGCCAAATCCGATTCATAACTACAAGTTAAATCACCTGAATATAAAATATTCATATCTGTACCAAAGGTGCTTTTTCAAAAGGCAACTGGACTTCTTTTGTTTTTCCTTGAAGACATTTCGCTTCTCATCCAAGAAGCTTCTTCAGTTCTGACTGAACGGTGGAGGATGGAAGGAATTATAATCAATTCTCCACCATTCAGTCAGAACTGAAGAAGCTTCTTGGATGAGAAGCTTGGTAGATTGTAGGGGTGACACTGAAATATAATTTTATCATATTTTATCTATATCTTAAATTATTGTATTTTATTCCATTTTCATTTTAGATTGTATTTTATTCCATTTTCATTTTAAATTGTATTTTATCCAGTTCCATTTTAAATTGCTTCTATCAAATTTCAATAATAATTTGTTTCTGGAATTCTGCACTTTGATATGGCCCAAGGGCCAATCGATCAGTGCTATCAAATGGTTATGTGTTTCAATACTACCTCTAAATTTGGCTGGCCAGATGTCACTGAGAAGTTCAAAATGAAGCAAGAAGCCCATTTGTCCTTAAAACAATGTTTCTCAACCTTGACAAGACACCTGGACTTGAACTCCTATGCTGGTTAGGGAATTCTGGGAGTTGAAGTTTTTGGGTCTTAAACTTGCCAAGGTTGAGAAACATTGCCTTAGAATATATAAACCAGGGCCTCACATGGCAATTAAGTGTTAGATGACATGAATTTATTCCATTTCAAAAAGTCACCCGAGTTGATCATTAATACCATCTGGCAACAAATTTCCTAATTATACCTTCTGCCAGGTAAATATTATTTCATTTTGGTCAAGCGCAGTATTAACTTACACTCAGGATATCAACAATTACTACAGCACCAACAATTGCCATAACATTTGGCCCGTACAGAAGAGAATACTAGCTCTCATATCCACATCATTCATAAAGCCTCCATCTCTCTATAATGCACTTGTAAACATTATAGACCTCATGAAATAATGAATCTGAAACATTGGGACACTCTCTCACTTCAGTGGCAGTTTCCCTGGGCCTGAAAAGCAAAATAAATTTGCAATTTTGCTTCTCCCATCAGGATATGGAGCTACTGGGAAACTGAATTCTCTAGAATGATATTGAAAAAAGAGGAAAAGCAATTTTTCCAATCCATCAGCAAAAAAACCAGCAGTTTCGGACCATTGGCTTTTTCTACTTGCCAAAGAATCAAGAGCTACCAAGTGCTATTTAAAGGAAGGACACTGTCAAACAATGATAAAACAGCCACAGCTGAGCACAAGGGATCTGATTCCTGATGGCACAATGACTCTTCAGTTTTATTATCGACATGAGCCTTTCTCGGAGTCAATAAGTGTCTGAGTAGCAAGATAAAAATACTGCAGGTAAGTCTATAAATAATCCTACTCATGGATTGGTCAGTAACATCCAGCAAAGCTGGAAGGCCCTTAGGAAAGCATACCTGGCTCCTTTGGATGCTGTATGCGCTGAGCTGGACCCACCAATGGCTGCCGATTGTGATGCTGACCCTGCACTCTGCATGTTCAGTCTTGGCATCGATCTTGCTCCAGAGAGAGCTGGTTTATTGTAAGGCACAAAGCCCACCAGAGAAGCACCGAGTCCTGAGTTTCTATTGGCCCCCTGTATACCGGTAACGAATTTGGGACTCGCTCCTGATGAATGTCCAGGAAGATTTACCATTGAGTGCCGATACCGTGAGGTTATGGGGCCAGTTCCACTATTCGACAAGCACTGCTGGCATGAACAAGTGGGCCCGCTGTGAGCAGGCCCTGTGGCTGCGGCTACTGGATATGGAGAGTCCACACACCGACGGATTCTTCGCTGGTATCCTGTGGTCTTATTAGTCTGGGTCTGTGATACAAAATCAATCCCATAATTGTAACCAAAGGGCCCAAGATCCACCTGAGGGTTACACTGAGAGAAAGCTTGCTCCAAATATACACAAATGTTCATCTCGTATGGAAACCAGCTTCCTTCATCATTCTGCCACTCCCAAACTACTCCCTGTCCAGGTGCCGAATCCAGCTGAAAGACATGTCTGTGCACGGCTCTCATGGTCCCTAAGAGGGAAAAATCATGACAAATCAAAATATAAAAGTAGACGTCAAAATTAAAACTAAATTTTGCATAGTCCAGGAAACTGAGTATTATTTGTAGTGATATTTCCCGTTCACATTAGATTAGGAAGGGGGGAAAAAGAATGGCGGGATGTATTATTACAGGGGCGTCAAACTCGATTTCATTGAGGGCCGCATCAGGGTTGTGTTTGACCTCTGAGGGCCAGAGTGGGTGTGGCCAAGATGGGTGTGACCAGCATGATATCACTGGTGTTGGGCGGGCGCCTGTGGCGGCCCGAGCGCTCTGCCAGCGAAAACGGGTACCTGAGCTCTGTTTTCGGCTGTGACAGCTTCCTGCAACCCTCTGTCAGCAAAAATTGAGCTCGGGAGGGCCGTGCACAGCCCTCGTGAGCTCCGTTTTCACTAGCAGAGGCATCGCGGGCCGGTCCTTTGTTATTTCTTTGGCAGCCCCATGGGCCAGCTCCAGCCCCAGGGCCTTGAGTTTGACACCCCTGCATTATTAGAATAGAATAGAATAGAATAAAATAGAACAAGAATAGTTGGAAGGGACCTTGGAGGCTTTCTAGTCCAACCCCCTGCTTAGGCAAGAAATTTGATCATTCAATTTTTGCAGCAGTCCCTCCAGTAGATCAGACATAGAAAAATCTTTTGAATCACCAGCTATCTGATTATTTTTTTCAGAAGAAATGCCCAAAGTTCTACCAAGGATCATTTGCATTCATGGTAGCGCCACTGGATCCCTTCTTTGAGAATCAGGTTCAAAAGTTAAAGTCGAGTTTGAAATTGGTCCACTTCCACTGTATTTGAATTGATAAGGTAATATGAAAATCAAAGGGCTTTACCTTCTTTTGCATAAAAAGCTAACTGCTTACTTATGAGTTATTTTAATACACACAATATAACAATGCTCGCTTCACTTTTCCCTCCTTCCTTTTTCCTTTGTATCATGTTATTTATAGCTGGAGACTGAGGACAGGAACTGTCTCAACAGTGCAGCCTATATTCATTTTTTAAGCATTAAATACTGTCATAAATTAAACCAGTTTGGTGACGTGGTTAAGGCATCAGGATAGAAACTGTGAGACCGTGAATTCTAGTCCCATAGGAAGCACGAAGACAGCTTGGACCAGTCAATCTCTCCTAGCCTTAAAAAGCAAGCAGTGGCAAGTCAAACCTGAAATGTTGCCAAGAAAAATGCACGGACTTGCCCAGGCGATTGCCAGAAGTGAAGACTGACTGAAATGTGCCCCCAAAGGCACCAAAGTCTGTCACAAATAATTACATTATTCAGCATAAAGAACAAAGCCATTTTTCTTATATGGTTTGTCCTCAACTTATAACCGCTGTTGAGCCAAAAATTTCCACTGCCAAGCAAGACAGTTGTTAAGTGAGTTTTGCTCCATTTTACAACCTTTCTTGGCACAATTGTGAAGTGAATCAGTGCGGATGTTAAGTTAGTATCAGGGTTGTTGAGTGAATCTGGTTTCCCCCATTACTTTGGTCGGCAGAAGGTCACAAAAGTTGGTCATGTGACCCCAGGACAACACAATCGTCATAAATACATGCCAATTGCCAAGAATTGTTATCACGTGACCACTGGTGTGCTGTAAGGGTCATAAGTGTGAAAATTGGTATAAATCATTTTTTTCAATGCTGTTATAACTTCAAACAGTCGCTAAATGAATGAACGTAAGTTGAGGACTACATGTATAAGCCACTCCAGTGGGGATGGGAATGGCATCAACTGGTGCAATGAACAGGCAGGAGGGACACAGACAGACGCCACCAACATCCCTCATTTCCTTCATGTAGCCATTATCTTCACTGCTCTCAGATGAGACTTTAAATGCTTACAGCCCATTTCTAGATAAGCTGCTGCTTCCTGCTGTCTCAGGAAAGGTGGTTTCCTGCCATTTTTCTCTCACTTCCCGTGAAGAGTCCCGAGTTGTCTTTTTCACAGGGCATATTTCAGATGATTTGCAGATGGTTGCTTTATTTTTATAAAATCCATCTGATGTGCTGTAGAGGTTAATGGGCTGCATAAAAATCACACAGAACTCATTCTATTATGTGGGAGGAGGGAGGAAGGATTCTGCAAAAAATGGAATGCCCACATTTTAAAAGAACTACAGACTCTTTTATGATTAGTTATCATTGGTATCCATCATTGATATCCTGAAGGTAGCTGTTGGCTGTCAGCTATTTTGCATTATTTAAAATACTAGCACTGATATATTCAGAAGACAGCTATCTGAGAACAAGAATGGGTTCACACACCACACATCAGCCAATATTTGTTTCACAAGCCATAATTTACTCAGCACATACAATACTCTAAGTCAAAAGCAAACAAACCCCATTATGGCTTAGTCGGCTGGGTAAACAAACAAAGTCTGCCCTTATTACTTTATAAAGCTAGAATTGTTTTGTGGGAGATACCATTCTCCTATATTTCATAATAAAACCCGAGGCCAAGAAAACGTTGGCAACCTAATAAATGAGATTTAATCCAGGTTTACAGCTCTTTCTCAGTACTTCAGACTGTGCCTAGAAGAGAATGCTCTACCAAAGTTATTCTTAACCAAGCAACTTTATTGTATGGGCTCCCAGAATTCCTTAGTCACCATTGAGAAACACTGCTCTACATCATGATGGATGTGTCCACTATTAAGCTATATCCATAAGGAGATAATGCAGCTGCTTTTTACCTGTATCTTGCCGGAACTGGGTGAGACTCGGTAGGTCAATTATGTAGGGAGCCAGAGTTGAATCAGCTTGTCCCAAGGGTATGCTGCCATTCACAGGCCAAGTTCCCAGTGATCGCCGGCCTTTTACCATGAGAACTTGGAAAGACTGCTCAATGTAGCTGCACACGCTACTTCGGTATGGCCTCCACCTGCCAAACTCATCCTGCCACTCCCACACAGCCACTCCTGGATCCGAGAGGGATGGTGGAGGCGCAGCAGATGTACTTGGCAAAGTTGCCATTTTTGAATAGGTTTTGCCCACTTACAGAAAGTGGACAGGAATTTGGAAGTGGTGTTAATCCAGAATCCAAACTGTCATCTTCAGCAACAATACCTTGACAGACCTGTGGTGGAAAGAGAAAGGACGTTAATCATGAGATATCAACCATTGTTTCTCAGCTGTTAGCAGCTGACCTACAGTGCAAAAGTCGGATGTAATATCACTTCTTCCGAGACAGATTCTATTTAGCCCTTTAATTTCTGAGCTACAGTCTGTTAATACAAATGATCTCTCTAGGTCTTAGAGCTGTCTCTACAATGTCTGCTTGAATGTACTTTCTACTTCTCTAGAAATCTGATCCTAGTTCCGCTGCATGAATTGTACTTAAAGCTAGAAAGTTTTCCTATCACTCAACCATAATCACCATTCCTGTAATTTAAGCCCATTATTCTATTCCTGGAACATTAAGCAGACAAATCACCGCTGGGGAGAAAGGTGACTAAGTAGCAGTGAGAGAGAACTGGAAAGTGATGTCTTTGCTGCCACAGTTATTAAAATAAATAGCTATCCCTAGCACTACGAGATTTATCCTATGGTTGGATCCAACGGCTGGATTTGCACAATATATTAGACCAAGCAGAAATAGGGTTGAGTTGGATTTGGTATATCCTGCTAGAGGGACCAGGCTCTATACCAAACAGAGCCCAACAATCTGGAAAACAAAGAGTTGGACTAATTGGCAGCAAATCAGGTAGTCCTCGGCTTATGTTGAGGTTATTTACCAACTGTTCAAAGTTACAATAGACCTCCCTCCAGCTACTTACGACCCAACATTTTGATGGCCACCCTCCCCCCCAATGGTCATGGGATTATATTTCAGGTGTTCAGCAACTGGCTGGCATTTGCAGACATCTGCAGCATCTCAAGGTCACCTGATCATGATTCGTGGTTTTCTTTTCCCCAGAAACCAGGATTTACTTCTGATTTCTTTGGGAAAAAAGCACCCATTGCAGACAACGGGTTCATTTAACAAGTACTGGGGAAAAAGTCATAAAATTAGGTCACATGGTGACCCATTTAATAACTGGCACAATTGACAACTGTAATTCTGGGTTCAATTACAGTCATAAGTTGAGGACTACCTACAGGTATGCCAGATGTTGATGTTGGGGGAGGAGAAAAATGTTACTCTCAACTGTACAATACTTTGAAGATCTCAGCACGCAGCAAAGCAATTTTTAAATAGTTGTAATAAATGCTATTACTAACTTTATTTAGCATAATACAGGATCTGTGACAGCTTAGAGCAAGACAGGCTCTGCCTCAAACAGCTTATACAAGATATAAAGAATGATGGAAAAAAAACTTTGACCTTCTGGACATTCTTGAAATACAACTTCCAGCAACCTTTACCATTAGCCATTCCGGTAGAGGGGAGGATGATTAAAGTTGCATTTCAGCAACACATGTAGAGGGGCAGGTTCCCTGCTCCCCATTCCTAGTACACTGATGTAAATAGGTCCTTGGCTTACAACCATAAGAGACCAGAAAAAAATTGTTAAGTGGTGTGGTCATTAAATGAGGCATCACATGACCACTCCCAATTTTACAACTCTTGCCATGGTGGTTAAGCAAATCACTGTGGTTGCTAAGCAAGACATCACATGACTGTGATCTGCAACCCTCTCTGCCAGTTTCCCCAATGACTTTACTTGTCAAAAGCCAGCTGGGAAGGTCACAAATGGAAACCACATGACCGTGGGGTATTGCAACTGTCATAAACATGCAATGGTTGCCAAGCATCTGGATCATGATCAGGTAATGGGGATGCTGCAATGGTCATAAGTGCCAGGACAGGTTGTCACTTTTTTTCAGCACCTTCAGAACTTTGAATGGCTGCTAAAGGAATGATCGTAACTTGAAAACTACGTGTAATTCTTTTTCATTGTAGTCTTTAGTGGTGCAAAAGCAACGTAATACAGGGCCACTTCTGAAAGATTCAAATGCAACCAGCACTAATTTAATTTAATCTGAGAAAATCCAGGAACACTTTTTAATATTCTAAAGAACTGGCAGTAAAACTGCCACATCATATTCATCATGTATATCACAATGTATCATACCTAGTTATGTGCATCGTTCCCCCCATGGACTGAAACCTTTTAGTTTGCATTTTCTTAATAATCTTTCAACTCCCAGATTTTACAGCATACAGACATTTGAAAGAATTATAGCTCAGTTATTTACATAAAAATCTCTCTTGGTCCATTATACCCAGAATGGGCACTGTATTCAGTTATCTCCAACAAACAAACTGAGCAAACAATCTATATTGCATGTTCAAATACTTAAGTTTGTTTGCTTTCCTCTATAGCAGCATTCAAAAAGCAACTCTAAAAATATTGATCTGCTCAAAAATATGTAACGTGCACAATACACTAAATCAATACAAAATAAAACATATTATAGAATCATAGGGCTGGAAGGGACCTCCAGGATCTTCTAATCCAGAAGCCTTATATCAGCCCAGTCAAATGGTTGTCCAGTTTATTCTCGGAGCACCTATAATTCCAGGAGGCAAATTGTTCTGTTGATTAATTGCTCTCATAGTCAGTGTGTTGTGTGATCTTAGCCTAATTTGGACTACCTCATAATGAGCATAAACAAATAAATCATGACTAACTTACAAACAGATCACTACAAAGCAGAAAAAAATACTGCATTTTAGTTTCCTCATTTGGTTGCCTAGAGGCAATGCCTGGTTATTGCAAACTAGGTGAGGACACAGTAATCCTCACCTTACTTGCTCCAAGGTAATTCAGTATTACTATGCCTTATGGATTAATGCTGTAACAACTTTATAAATTATGACAGTTTGGATACATAAACCAATGGCTGAGGGATAACTGTATGCCATTTTTAAATCTATGAAAAACATCAACATTTATCCAAGATTGTCATATTGTCCTAAGCCATAGTATGATCTGAGTAGTTTTAGTTAAGCACATATTACTGTAGTATATGACAGTTGCTTTTGGTTTAAGAACCATTATTACACAAACCATTTCTTAGCACACTGTATGACTCGGTGGGTTAATGGTTCACTACGAGTTCATCAAATGATTCACACTAAGTACCCAAATCAGTTAATTAAAACAACAATCATTTAGGATTTTCCACAGGGATACCTAGCAGTATAAGTCAGGGAGTATTTGATTATTTACTGTACTTTATGAATAACCTGGGCAACAGATTCTATCCATTATTACCATTTTTATGATCCATTACTTTTTGGAAATTAGTCCTGAAGCCTTCAAGAGAAACATGCACATTGCCCTGTATCCCATCTTTCATGTTGACTGGAGATTACAATACAAAGGACATACATTGGAGAAGAAGGAACTGGGAAAATGTTGGCATGGTATCTATCACTTCTTCTTTCCCATCTCTTACACATCATTATCAACATCTACATTTTTATATGAACATAAACAGGGGAATGAAGAGAATTCCCTATCTTAGCATTTTTAGCACAGGCTAAAAAGCTGATGATAAAACAATTACCATCAAATTTGAACCACCCTAATGGTTCAGAGGGAAGACTGTCCAGTGGCCTGTAACTATCAAGAAAAGCCACTTTGGGCAAATTCATAATCTTCAGCAGCAAATAATACCTCCAAGCATTGAGGTTATCTCATATATACAAATACACTCTTTACTTTAGGAGAGAAAATCTGACATACTTTTAATTACCAGATAGGGTACACATTTGCATGTTTAAATAAAATCAAATAGTCTTGTAATAATTTACAGAAAACAATCAAAGATATGGCACGTTACCCGACAAGATACCACATGCTTATTATGACCAAAAGCTTAATCATCTTTCACTAAACAGAAAAGATATCCATTCTTACACAAATTCAGCTTCCTTCCTGGGAAGGAAAATGGTTTATCCTCCAACAGATCTGAGTTCAAAAGAGGTCAAATTACCAAATACACAGTAGTTCCTTTTGGCTCAAGAGACTGTCCAACCCACTACATAGGATTGTGGGGAAAAGAGAAGGCAGGCATATTAGCTATGTCTTGCTGCCTTGAATTCACACACACTCACACATAATGTATGCAGTGACATTTTCTTAGAAAAAAAAAGACAAATATGAAAAGGGGGTGTTAGTGTTTTGGGATAAACCCCTAGCAAAGTATGCAGCAGCAGTCAAGCCAGGCAGCCAAATGGGAGAGGAAGGGTTTTAGAGTATACACACACTGAACACAAACACTGTTTGTAGTTTAAATAGTTTTTAATCCAGTTAGAGTTTAAGCATTGTCAATCAGTCCGTATGTCATTCACAATATATCCATTCAGTAAGACTCAATAACTCAGTCCAGATAATAGTCCTTACTATATCTTTATCAGCCGATAAAGATATCTTCTCCTCCTCCGATGCCTTTCTCCAGAGGATAATGCTGGATATTCAGTAGAACGATCAAACAGTAGACAGTCGCAGTAAAACAGTAGTAAACAATTGTATCCAGCAGTAAACAGCAGTAAACAGTAAACAGCAAACGGTAAACAGTAAAACAGTAGGCAGTAAGCAGCAAGCTTTCTACTGCTTCCTCTTATTGCAGTTTCTAACCGCACTCTTAATTGGCTAATTACATGCAGTGTGGTGCTTAAAGTTACAAAAACTTAAACTATGATACCTTAGTTTATATATTTATCCACCCAAACCTTGTTGGGTATCAAGGTTATACCTAACAGGGGGCAAATCTAAAACAGGCACATAAAGATAAAACTAATTGTTTATTATTTTGTTTTACAAAGGAAAATTCAAGAGCAAACCCCAGAAACTAAGTAATTAACCTAAAGGACATAATAAAGGACCACTCATTATAATAAACGATGCATGATAACTGTAGATAGATGGATAGGATAAAAATATAATCATCATCATGCCACCCCTCTTTTGGCCGGAGATAACAGTGTGAATGTGATGACTGGCAACTAGGAAACTTGATCTAGCTATACATTTCCACTACAGAGAATTTTCTTCTTTCTTCTTAAACTAAGGTTCCTGGTTGCTCCTGTCATGCTCAGCCTGGATTATCCCAGAGACAGGGGCAAAAAGGAAGGAAGCCAACACCCTACTTACTGTCTTATGCTTTCTCGAGAAAGGCAGTGGTGTACAAAAGCATACACATTTCATCACATGCTGAAGATGGGGGTGACTTAAAAGTTACACTTCAACTCCCCCTCCATCATGAAAAAAACACCCCAACGTGACATTCATTCCCTCTTTCAATCTTTCAACCATGCTGGCTGGGGAAATCTGGGAACTGAAGTTCACTCGTCTCCCAAGTTTGTCAAGGTTGAGAAACGCTGACTTTAAGGTACTATGGGGTGACTGTCAAAATATGAGCGAGAGAAAAAAAAGGGGGTAAAGGATCAGGGACCCCTTTCTCTCTCCCCGCCCCGTTTCTTGGAAGTAAGGCAACATACGAGCCCAAGCAGCCCCCCTTCCTTGCACCTCCACTGAAAAGGAGATTGAAAAGCCTTCTCCAAGATCCTTCTTCGGCAGAGAATTCGGAAACTTCTTCTACCCTCACCTCCTTGGAAAGAAATCCGCCATCAACCCCACCAGCCGAGGCCTCACCTGAAGTGGCTACCGGGAAAACACTCCAGAAGGGAAAAAGCGACGACTTCTTAACAAGTCCCCCATCGCCTCCTCCAGGTGACGGAAGTGCGCACGCGTCAGCCTTGTCCTCCGCTTCCTGCTCGACGCCCATGCTTGGGGACGTGGCGTGGAGCTTCACGGGAAATGTAGTCTTTCAAAGTCACGGGTCCCGCCTATTCCCCTCCGAGGAATCGGTGCGGACTTCTTGCCGCGGTGCATCTTGGGTAGTGGCATAATAGACTCGGGGTTGGTGTGTCGACTGTGCCTTTTTCTCTCTTAACAAATTTATACTCTACTGAGTTGATAAGCTTATTTCAAACCAAATCGCCTCCTAGTGATTTTATAATTATGCAGTAGTTTTCTTGGCAGTTGTGGAAGAAGTTTGAGGTGATTTTATTTCTTCCAAGACCAGCCTATAGCCTTGATATCATAGCTCCCAATTCAGATGCTAACCATACTTAGCTTTCCAAATTAACCAAGGCTATTTCCAGCAACAAAGTGCCAGATTGCTTGTAGTTCAAACTTTAATGGGTTGTGTAATATACCTTCTATTTTTGGATGGAAGTTTAAATCATACTGGTAAAGCTAACATCCCAAATGGCAATTCATATTGATAGAAATTTTTACATCCCTCTTTTTATTTTCAATACTGTTAAGCCTTTTAAGTAACAAAAAATAATTTTTAATCATATAAACATTACTGCATGGAGATCTGTATTGAAATAATACAATTTATCCTGATTTGCAATTTTACAATAGGGGTAGTTTTCAACTTATGACCACAATTGAGCGCAAAATTACCATTGCCAACCAAGATGGTTAAATGCAGGGGTGGGTTTCTACCAGTTCTGTCCACCTCTGTAGAACAGGTAGTTCTGAAGAGCAGCAGACATAGAACTGGTCCTATGTCTGCTGATGTTTTTGCACACCTGCCCACCCGGGCTCTTACCTGATCTTTATTTCCTGATTTTTCAACTTCAGCTGCTGAGTGAGGCACAGCTGCAGTTAAAAAAGCAGGAAAAGAGGGCTGTTTCAAAGGCTGCGTCTCTGCACACAGCATGCTGATGACGATTTACACGCGGCTCACAGCATGCAGGGAAGCTCGTAAATCCCAAACTGGAAGTTAACCCTGTCATATCCCACCCCTGGTTAAGTGATTTTTGCCCCGTTTTTGCCCCTTTTTTTGTACCACAGTTAAGTCAATCAGTGCAATTATTAAGTTAGTAACATGGTTAAGTGAATTTGGCTTAACCAGTCAGAAGGTGGCAAAAGGCAAACACATGACTTCAGGACAGTGCAACTGTCATAAATACGTACCATGTGTTGAGAGTATGAATTTTGATCACATGACCATGGGGGGGCGCAACAGTCATCAGTGTGAAAAATAATCATAGGTCACTTTTTTCAGTGCTGTTGTAACTTCAAATGCTCGTAAGCTGAGGACTATCTATAAAGGGGGGGGGGGGGAATGGCTTCTTCATCAAATAATGGTAAAAAAAATCTATGAAACAAAAGAATTGTTTTACAATTCTTTTAAAGCCTGGAAGAGTTACATTTCTCCCCTAGAAATAAATATTTCTTTTTTTTTCATATGAATTATTTTTTGTTTGAGAATGCTGTGGTACATTAACGGTCTCCAATATTTATGACTTGGTGGCCAGATGAGAGGGGAGAGGGGAACTGGCCCTTGCAACTGGTGGGCGGGCATGTGTGTGTGTGTGTGTGCACACCCTGGCACACTGCTTGTGCAAGTTGAGCTGTGCATGCTGGCCCGGCGTTCATGTGAATCAAGCTGCATGCGTGCAATGTGCCGGCCAGCAGCTTGTGTGACCCACTTCTGAACCAGCCATTAGTGGGGTAGAGGGTGGTGGGCCAGTAGGGGTTGGAGACCCCTGTGATAGACAATAAAACAAAATCAATTTCTCCAATATATTCCTATGCTAAACCCCTTTAATTGCTCTTTTAAGCAGCTTAGTCTGAAACTATGCAGTACTTGTATTGTGCAATTAAAAGCATTAGCAGACTGAGGGCCACCTACCAGTGCACAAGAAGCTAATAAATGTTTTTAGAAATGTTTAAAGATTTCACTGTCTCTTGAACTGACAGCTATCCTAATGTGATACAAACTTGTGCACTGGGAGAATTTAATTTTCATCAATTAGCACTGAGATTTAAAGTAAATTAACCATTTGTTCTCAATATTTTGTCAAATGCATTATAATCTCTGAACATAATTTATTTAATCTATTATGCATTTATTTGAGCTACATTCCACCTTTCCAATTGTTGGTTCCAATAAAAAGCATAGGAAGACATGAGCCATAAAGTTGCAAAGACTGATACTGTGGAGTCCTTGGTGCTCTATTAAACTTGCAGATATTTCATTACCTGACTAGATACTATATCATCGTCAGTGTTAGTAGGTGTTGGATGTGCTCCCTGATGATATACAATAGGTTGCCCTGGCAGTGTTGATACTGACATATGTAAGTTCAACCATGAGCTACATATATTCTCTTCTATTGAAAGCCGATATTGGTTTAAACTACAGTAGCAGCAGCCTGTAGCAGCTCTAAAGATTGGGGAGAAGGGAGATAAATTCAAATTATCACACCCTTCTTATATTAATTGTGTTTTATATTCTCTGTTGTATTCAGTGTTGGAATAAACAGATTGAGGTATAAAGTTATTCACCTACTAGATTCACTAACCACAGTATGAGCAGAACAAGTCTTCTGCCTAGCACTAAGCCATGAAGTGGAGAAGGAGGACAAAATGGCAGCAGTAGCATGACTTCCATTGACCTATGCAGAAAAAGGTTGCCAACCCAACTGCCGTTTTAGAAGATCTTGCACTCAGTGCAGTTTTGGGACACATGGCCTTTGCAGTGTTGGCACCTCAATTGAAGGCAGGAAAAACCTATCTAGTGGAGAGAAAAAAAACTAGGAACAACCCCCCCCCCCAATAAAAGTCAGTTGGGCAGTAGCCAATACCTACCTTCTAAACTGTTACATGAGTGCGGATGAGGAAGGAGCAGGACTCAGGAGTGCGAAGAAACTCTTTATTTTAAACCCAGAATCAAAAAGCCAACAAACGTGGTAGGCGCCAGCTTTTATAGCCGGTGCTGTCCAACACTTCAGCCACTGATAGGATTCAAATCTTCCCGCCAGTGGCTGAACCAATGAGTGGAGTCTGACATCAGACTCCACTTTGCATATCACGTAACACATGTAAATACAGCGTCATGCATATTTAACATAAACATGCTTCATTCCTATAGTACAGAGCTATTAAGATAATGTGATGGAGAATACGCTTGATGTGCAGAAAGTCCTAGGTTCAGTTTTCAGATTAGAACAGGAAAAAAAGATAACCATCTGATACCTGGGTAACAGTAATCACAGATGTCTGCAGAATCCACCATTTTTATAAAAAAAATTAAAAGTCACATTGTGCCATTACAAGACAAGCTCCAACCCTTTTATTCATGCATGCATAAACATGAAGCTCATACCAGAGTTAAATAGCTATCATTTGCCTTGCCTTTCCTCCCTCTGTGGACCCCACTGGTAGTGGGCAGTCAGGGCAGATGATGCCTGCTTGATGGAGCAATTATTCCCTTTGATGCAAGGCAATTTCTCTTCATCCTGAAACTCCTTCACATACCCTTTTTCATTTTTTAATATGGCTTACAGGAGCATCAGAAACTGCACGTAGACTACACTTGGCAAGGAAAAATGCCACAAGTATTGGGAGAGGGGGCGTTAGTGGCGGAGAAAGGCTAACCTTATTAACAAACTAGAAGTGTATTTTGACTTTTTTGCAATGTCATGTAACTGGCAGCTATTCCAACACCAGAGGAAATATTCAGGATTTCACGAGCAGAAAAAAAGAAAGTAAAATTTAAGCAGGAATTTATCAACTCCCCCTGACGTCCATTCTGGTTAAGAAAAGCCACTTCGCCTACCCAGGAGCCGCAGGAAGTATTTCTTGAAAAACGCTTTTATTTAGAATGTCTCTCTTCTTAACTTTTTTCACCCTGATGTAAAACTGGGACAGACCATAAAGTTGAATGGCTAGAATGGTCTAATTCTATGCTAATCTGGTTCATGGATGACATTATGGCAGCCACTGCTAGAGATAATTATTTTACAATAACAAGGAAAGCATGGAAAACATGGCTTCTGGAACATTTCTGACCCCTTAATAATAGCTCTGCTGTAGGAACGAAGCATGTTTAGAAGGGAGGTATTGGCTTCTGTCCAACTGACTCTTTTATAGGGAGATACTGGGTTTTTTGTTCTGTAGGAACTTAGCACCCACCCCTCTCCTAGAAAATTGAAATAGCCTAGGAAATATTAAAAAGGCAGAATATTTCCTCTAAAAAGAGTAGAAACTCAGAAGCAGAAACTCACCTCAGAAGCAGAAACTCACCCCTACCTTTGTTAATGGGTGGGCCATTAAGGCCTGGGCCAGAATACTTTACATAACAAAAATCTCCAGATAAAGCTATAGCAATTGGCAAAAGCCCTTTTAAGGGCATAATCATACAGCAAGGCTCAACCAAGCCTGGAACTCAGGACAGCCTACAGAGTTGCCCCTGCATGGCCCCATGGGGGGCTGACAACCAATCAGAATACAAGCTCAAATTCAAATCCCAACAGAGGATATAAAACCAGACACTCTCAGCACCTCAGTCCCTTCTTTCTTGATCTCTTCCTTTTCACTCCAGGCCATGTGGTCCTGATATTAAACCTTCCAAACAGCCTCCATGTTTCCAGTGTCTTTTTCCCCACTTGGAACTGAACCCAGAAGGATATTTCTTTCAACAGTTCCTATTTTTTGTTCTCCACTAGGTAGGTTTCTCCTGCCTTTAATTGAGGTGCCAACACTGTGAAGGCCACGTGTCCCAAAACTGCATTGAGTGCAAGATCTTCTAAAGTGGCAACAGACTGATGAATATATTTCTTTTGGGGATTATAGACCGGATGATTTTAGATGGCAGACCAGATGTGATCCATAAGCCATGGATTGCCGACCACTGCTTTAAAGAGTT